ATAGGCTGACAGTTAAAACGGATGTAAATGTATCCAGAACGATGCTGGAAGGTGAAAAAATTAGCATGGAACGGTCGAGTTCTCGGTAAACGAGCGATAGAAATTGTAGAACGTCTAAAAGCGTAACTTACTGGAATATTTTAGTAATTCGGTGACAGCGAAGAAGAAGAAATCCCCCACGAAACTTTCTCCGAAAAGGCACTTCCACTTTCACCTCGCGTCTCTCGAAAATAAACCCGTAGCACTGCTAAAAATATTTCTCGTTCAATGCACGCGATAGAAACTGGCGAATTCTTCCGATTGCCCTTAAGGATCGGTAACAGCGAAATATTCGATAGAATTTCGATAATAAATAATACAGTTGTCTGGCGAATACGCGGTGTCTACTTTTCAAAGATTGCCGAAGCCTAATGCCGAGAACATCTACCAGACCAACCGACCCAACGTAAAAGTCGGGATAGCACTGGCGCTGCTACTCACTGAATGAATCTATAATTGCTTTTGTACAGCAACATGGTGGGGGCGAGCACGTGATCCAGGGCCGAGTGGTGGGGCAGATCGTGGAAGACTCGTCGAGGGAGCATTAAGAACTCTATTTTAGCGATGGCTACGATACGGAAACGACTAACGAACCAATCCATTCAAACTTCGACTAATAACTTGCGAATGACGCGGAATTTCAGCCTGCGTTTTGGTATCGTAACAGGCCGTCGTTCGACTATTCCGCGAACGAAATGAATGAAAAAGGTAAGGAAGAAATGACAAATATTCTTGGCCTAGACTTTCATCTTCTATGTTGTGTGTTTATCACCTTAGTTATATAAACATACAGCTACAAAAACATACAAGATCGAATAGAAGATACGTATCTAGCGAATGAATATTCTGTGTATTACGTAAAAGTAAGTTGAGCAACTGTTTCTTGGAATTTCATTTTCTTTTTTTTTTTTTTTTGTTATGCCAGTTCCTAAACTTGGACACAAACGTTGCAGAGTACGATGAAAACAAACAAATTATGAAAAAATTTATAAGAGGAGCCTCTATGTATGCTTGTTGGAATCTGATGAACGAACACACTGATTACATATGTATATTTTAGTAGTACACTATGTGCTATGTTAACGTAACACGGAGAACAGATTTACAACGAATTTCGTAGTACATGCGCAGTTGCGAATCCAGTCAGCAGGAGATCTTCCGAAGAAGGATCTTAGGAGCGTGAATTTAGTTCTTAATTGATAGAAAGCGCGAGTTCCGAATGGACTTTGAATCGTTAGTTTATTAGTAATTTATTGAATAGGGTGTTTTGAACGATGCCAATAATGAAAAGTCAGAGTTGGAATAAGGATTCAGTACTAGTACATCTAACAGGTTATTAGATATTGTAAAATACGTGGGATTCTCGATAGGTTATCCTCTACGCATAGCATAATAAACGACCAAATTTTGTCTCTCACGTTTCGCTTCGAGATACTCTGACGGTTTGTTTGTAGCCATTCCAAATACATTAACACTAATGTATTTTGTATGTGACAAGTAACGTTGCACAACGTGTAACTCGCACTATATAAGTTAACTGCTAAATCGTTTTCTTCGTAATTCTTTAAATTAGATACAATTCATAGAACCTGTTTATCGTTCCGATCATATCAATCAAATATTTTAGGATGGCATTCGTCCGAGAATAATCGTTCGCGTGTCACGCGCAATTGAACAATTTTAATTAAAACAAATTTAAAAATTCATAATAACAACAATCGTACTTAATACTTAAAGCACATTTCCATTAAATCGTTGCCAATGACAATCTTTCTAAATTAGATGCAATTCATCGAATTTGATTTGTTCATTCTATTTATAGAACATTACCAGGAAGGAAAATGTTACACGTAACAATTGTTGAACAAGTTGGATAAAAATAAATGTTAGCAAGGATTGATCGAAGCTGTCGCTATTGCATGTGCGACAGAGCACATGGCTCGCGGAAAAATGGATTCCTTTTAACTGGTTTACGTGCGATCTCGCCTCTGCTATCGCGTCATCGTTCTCGCTTACGAGTTCGTATTTCCGTGGGCCTCCCGTCGAAACGTCACGAATTCCGACGATTTGACGCCGTACACTTACGATGTTGGCTGCCAATCGATCGCCGCTGCCAGACTAGCTACCCCCTCCCCC